GATCTATGAGAAACTAAACCCTTTTTTCGAAGTTATGACGTCATCGATGATGGACAAACCTTCATGCAAGGAACTATATGTTTATTTGAAATAACAGACATAAAAAAACTTATTTGTTTAAAAAAGAAGGCAAATGATGACGTAAGTACAAACCCTCGGGAAACGAAATATTTTTCACGTGCGTCATTTACTTTCCATCAAACCCCACCAACAAAAAATAGTGCTATAGCACCCCTCAAATTTGGAGCCTAGTTGCACCCATGATGTCAATGAATTTTGTGTTTAGGGTGTTGTTGTATGATAAATAAAATCTAAAATAGATCTAAATGAAGGTTTTTTTATTTAAATCGAAAAACTCTTATTTAAATCAAAAAAATCTGATTTAAATCAAAAAAATCGGATTTTTTTGATTTATTGGAAAAAAATCTGCAACCCTGCTATCATTTGACATCAACTTTGAAGTTAATCCATGATTAAAAATTCTGGTTAAATTTAATCTCCGCTTTAATTCAAAGTTTGTGTCAAATGATAGTTTATGCAAATCTAAGATAGGAATGTAAAATTGGTTTTCCTCCTTAGACCATAAAACACAGATAGACAAAACATTTCATTCATAAATACTATATAAACACGATCCATGATTGTTTGGAACGACGTAATGCGGGCAACGAAAACAGACTATTCTCTCTCTTGATGCGGCGTACCATTTTGGCAACATTGGTAAAAGCTCTCAGGGCCGCTCGGCGGCACTCCGCAGTGGCGTATCATAAAGTTTTATCTAATACGCAAATATCTTCAGATATTTAGTTTTACAGGAAAATTTAAAGTTTACCTATGATGAAATTTCCAATATCGTTAAGATTGGGAATTGTTTTTATGGATTTTCAAACTCATAATTTTGGATCAAGGCTTGAAATTAGAGTTTGCAAAAAATGGTAAATTTTTGTATAATATTGATTTCATACAGACGCACGACTTTTTCACTAATAATAGGTCTGTTTCTGCAGAAATCACAAACCAGTCAGAGTGAATTTCATTGGTTGAAACTAGTTTTCTGACTGTTTTTAACCAATGAAATTCGCTCTGACTGGTTTGTGATTTCTACAGAAACAGATCTACAATCGCTTTCAAATTTCGGGTATGTATAACGGCAAAGGAAAGATCGACACAATAGGTCTGTTTCTGCAGAAATCACAAACCAGTCAGAGCGAATTTCATTGGTTAAAAAAAGTCAGAAAACTAGTTTCAACCAATGAAATTCACTCTGACTGGTTTGTGATTTCTGCAGAAACAGACCTAATATAAATAATTAAATAACTAGTTTTTTTATTGACGGACAAAGCCATTTTTACAAAAGAAACTTTAAACTATACTTAAATTATGATATCTCATTCACTCAAAAAAAAACCTATGACCAATAGCATATTTTTAACAATTTATTTTTCAAAATAATGTTTTAAAATATTAACTGCTGTTATGAAAACTCAACAATACATAAGTACACATTTCCTAAAATATGAGAAAAAAAAGCGATGCTACCTACACGAAATAATATGAAAAATTAATAAATTTGACAATTCAACTAAATTCATAATGGAAAGGATATATTAGAAATTATTGACTTTCATGTTATTTTTTTTTTCTTTTTTTCAAAAGTGATTTTGGCTTTATTTTTCTATTAAATATACATTTAAATGCAAATTAATAATCCTATAAAATTATTTGGTATATTCAATACTATGCTCTAATTTTAAGCTATATAAACATAGAAAGTGGCCACTGAACTAAACTGCTGGGACACTGCGATATGCGATATGTTTGAAACCAAAATATCGACCTCATAGTTTCCATATAGGTACATCTTGAACCATACCATCAGTATCATTGATTCTGAAAAATGCAAAAAAAAATCTATTTATAAAGAAAACACTTAAACTTCAAAGAGTAAATAGTTCATGGAACATGGAACTCATAACAAAAATTTAAAAATTATTGCTTAATTAGGGGCTATATTTATGCTCAGTTTCAGGTATGTTGGAAAACCCCTTTTAACAAAATCAAATAATAAATAAATGGGGGATTTTTGTCCATATACCAGGGTACTCTACAGCATAAGCAGGTACCAATGTCATAGGAAAAGCTGGGATCAAAAAGAGGTAAATTTTTAACAATATCTAATTGGGAATATTGTACAGCTTTTAGTATAGAATATACATTATGCATAGATACAATTTTTCTGTCCCAATTTTTTCATTCAATCACAATGGTACCTAGATAAGTTAGAGTTGATATTTATTAAGTTATTTTTTTTTAAATTTTGTAACTGGTGATTAATATCGAAAATCCAACTTACCCTGATAATCTTGGGGGTGACCAAGGACAAGGAGATGGTGGCGAGACACTAGCAGTAGATACAGAGCTAAAATAAATAGTAATTAAAACCAGTCATGGCTAAGGACTCTCTTGAGTTGTAAGAATATTAATTACCTAGAAGAAGGGTCAGGGAAAATTGGTGCCTTAAGGTCCGGATCCGCATCTGCTCTTAAGTACTGATTTCTGTTGGGTTTAGTAATAATATCACTAGGATTAAAATGATCTGAACATATTTCTGCTTATTTGGGAAAGTTCTCATGGATCCTCCATCCCAAAAATCGAAAACCAAATTTTCCTTCGCTCAGGGTTTTTTGTAAATCTGAAATAAAAAATCATTTTGATAACTTGTTATTATATGCTACCTATTTAAAAATGAAACAAGGATGTATAATTTTATGACTTCTTACCTAGAAAATACAAGAATTTGTTAAGCTTATTTTTACACAATTGAGAATTTTTTTTGATTAAAATGTATGTAATTAAGTGCATTAAACGAATACATAGCAGCAAAACTAGATTAAGTAGTGTTTAAATTCAATTTTTAAATAGAATAATAATTTTCTCTTATTCCAATATTTATCAGAAGACAATAATGTCAGCTGTTTTGTATACGCCACTGACTAACCACAACAAAACATAACCATAATTTTACTTACCTATGAAACGATAAATACGGATTGAAAAGGGCTGATTTCTTGCAAAACTTACTCTAGCGACCCATATTAGATAGTTTTACTTCACACTGCTTAGTATTTATTCCAAAAAAACACAAAAAACTCAACAATAAGCTCTCAAACTCACGATCAATCTAGGCAACAACGCGATCGCAAAAGATGAATGAAGACCCGAAAATCAATAATTTACCGTAGTACGCCAGGCTCTAGAATTTAGGGCGCTGTTGTCATATTTATTTATTTTTGTATTTAACAACGCTTTTTATTCAAAATGTTCTGTACAAATATGGAGGCGTACTCAATGTATGTGTGGCGTACCCGTACAATTTGGCAACCACCGTTTTTATGAATTTTAATCTTGGATTGCTTTTAAATGTAAATAATCGTGTCTCTCTGTGCTATATGGTCTAAGTTTTCCTCTAAAATTTACCGTTTAGGTTTTACAGCCGGTCAAAGTTGCAAAAAAAGTCAATTTTCAACTGTCAATATTTCCGAAACAGTTGAAGATAGGTATATGACATTGTACATGAAATATGTCTAGAATTTTCCGTAGAATCCAGAAATGTCATAATATACAGGGAGCACCATTTGAAAAAATGAAGTTGATACCAGCGAAGCTTTTTTTGAGACACCCTGTATGATAAAGAATATATCCAAAAATTTCAAACAAAAAAACAAAATTGACGTGTCTGAGCGATTTTTCAAAAATTCTACCGTTTTCAAAATAATGAATTTATGCGGGACTTTATGAACTCACTGTATATTTTCAGTAGAAGTCAATACCTTTTGTAGTTTTTGTGTAATCACCCTAGAGCTGAACGCCGATTTTGGGTAAATTTCAGGCGAATGAGTGGACTCTTAATAGGTCATTGGCCGTAACTGTACTTAAATTGATGGTTTTGGCTTGTCGCTTGGTGTTCGACGTTCGACGAAATAAAAAGAAAAGAAAAGAAGGGAGGTATGCAGCCGATGAGAATATTAATAATAAACAATTGTTTTTGATATATCGCATTGTAACACTTTAAAAAACTCACCCTGTATAGTGAACTGCAATCTTGGATGATATTTATTGAATACATTTAGAACAGTAGGTATTTTGTTTTTTGGCACACATGTGATAATATCATCCATGTATCTTTTAAAAAATGGCAGTTGAAAGTCTAGTTGATTTATACAGTGCGTTTGTAGTTCAGACATGACAACGTCTGAGCAACTTGGGGACAAACAGTTTCCCATTTCAAGACCAAATATTTATTGGTAGAAGGTGTTATTAAAATTGAAATAACTATGGTCAAAACAAAACTGTAAAAGGTTAATAAATGCTTCAGGTGTTAGCTTACAATAATCTTTAATCATAAACCATCTTTTTTTAAATATTTCAATTGTTAAGCCAGTTGTAATATTCGTAAACAAAGATGTAACATCTAATGATATCAATACATAGACCTACGGAATTTCTGAATCCTCAACAAAGGCTGCCATTTCGAACGAATCCTTTAGATAATATTGTTCTGTTCTAAAAGTGTGAGTTATTAGGGTGGTTAAGTTGTATGCATGTTGTATGGTTATTAACCTGAATCCAACTTATAAAAACTAATCGGATTGTCAATAATTTTTGTCGTTTTCCATTTCACATCAATTTATGGTCAATCATTATGCAATTTCCAGATTTTGATACAAAGTGCTCCTACCGAGACTCCTACCTATAATTTGAAAAAAAAAAACAATTTTAGGGCTCTAATCTTGGGTATTCAAAAAAAAAACTAAATCAAAGAGTGCTTTGATTACAGAAACGTATGTCCCACTATCATTTCTTTATTGGTCAGGATTTTTGACATGACATTACAAAATTAAAGAAAAATATTGCTAGGACATACGTTCAAAGAATCACAGCCATCGTTGATTTACGTATTTTTGAAGACCTGTTGTTTCTGTAAACTTATTTATTTCTAGGCTCTGGTAGAGCTGATAGACTCGAATAACTACAATGTGGCTTCATTGCTTCTTGATAAAATCGCAGCTTCCAAGAGTCAAGTAGCACCAGTGCTGGTGCAAGCTGGAAATACTTTGCAACATCGAAAATCTATCGATACAAGTGACAATCACAGGGATCATAGAAAGCCCGCAAGGTAACGTTTGTTCATTTGAAGTATAATGGATTTTTTAATTTTTTATTCTGCAGAGAATGGGGCAACGACAAAAATGAAAGCAGAAGTGACGATAAACAATGGAGAAATGAGAACAATTCAAGGTAAGTTATCTTTTTATTGAGAAGGGACCTTAGCAGTTCATAAATTAAGTAGAGTTATTTCCTCAAGCATATCATGGAGGATAAAAAAACATTTGAAATTATTGTAAGTTGTGCATATCCACACTTGAAATCCTTAAAAACACATATGCTATTATAATTTTCCATTAAATAGATTAAACGATGGTAATTTAAACGATAGATCAGCAGAAGGTGGATCATGGAGAGGAGAAAATAGAAGCTTCAAGTGTGTTGATATTTTCCAAAGTGATTTTCATAGATCTCATTGATATATTTTTTAGTCATAATGAACGGAGCAATGATCGCGATGGTGATAGAAACCCTAAATACAATGCAAGCGACAGATTCAACAGGAACAAGTTTGAAAAAGGAAGTGACAGTAAGCATAATAACTGGAATAATAAAGAAAGTAAGTAGGATTTAGCACAATTTTGCTGCTTAATTTATTTGAACAACTGCCACTGATACTGAAAATATATATTCTTAGACGGATTCCAAAACAAGCCATCTTGGAGCAGCCCAGTTAATGAATCAGCCCCTGGTGTAGATACTTGGGGAGATGACTCAACATCTCCAGTGCCTCAAAACACCTTTGAAGATGGGAGAAACAGAGACGATAGATTTGGCGGCAGAAAAAAGTTTGAAGGAAACAGAGAAGATAGAGGCAATCAAGGGGAAAATAAAGGTGGATGGAACAATGAGAACAGAGGAGATCGAGGAGGGTGGAAAAATGAGGATAGAGGAGATCGAGAGGGATGGAAAAACGACGATAGAGGAGATCGAGGAGGATGGAAAAACAACGATAGAGGAGATCGAGGAGGATGGAAAAATGACGATAAAGGAGATCGTGGTGGATGGCAAAACAAGGGAGATGGATTTAAAAAAGATTTCAAAAAGTAAGGTTTTAGATAAGTTAGTAAAACATTTAATTTAGAATTTATTGAAATTTCAGCAAATTTAATAAACATAAAAGGTAAAAATATACGCGGAAATTTGTAAGTAACATTCCGGTATGTTTAACTGAATAATAAAAAATTGTCTTGTGATGTAAGCTGTGATTTTGGCATGCTTTTCGTTAAAAATGTATCTATCAGAGCCTGAGCAGATTTTATCTATTATTGTTTGGAAAAAAAGTCCAGCTCTCAAGGGTTGGAATGTAGGAATGTTATACATAATATTATTATCATATATAATATCACAAGAGAAAAAAATTTGACGGTAAAATGTTTGAAAGTTTGTTGCTACAAAAGCAACAAACTTAAATAAAACCTTGAGAACAATTTTGTCTACAAAATTTTTTCTCGAGTGGTATTTGTCATGACTATTTCACGTAAGATTTTGAAAATAAATAGAATGCAAAAATATCAGTTTGAGAATGTCAAAAAATAAAATGGTCGCTGAAATACCATGTTGTTGGTATTGTCCAAGTAGCAATATTGAATTTATTGCTGGTGTAATAGTCATTGTAACACATTTATTCAAATATATTATACCATTCTGCGGAAAATTCCTAGCTTTCAGCATCAGTGTCGCTTTGCTTTTTGTATGTGTCTATAATTTACAATTTAATGTCGTTCATAAATTATTTTCAATAGGGATGGAAACGACTTCGATTCAAGCGGATCAGAAAAAAGTTTCAAGAAAGGTGGCAGAAAAGAGAGAAACGACTACGGTGGTGGCACAAGATTCCAAAACAGGTAATAAATGGATAATATATAGTGTGTATCAGCCAAATGGAATAAATTCGATAATAAATAAATGGCACTTTTCGAAAAAACGCTCGAACACGTCAATTTTGTTTTTTTGCTTGAGATTTTTTCACATTAATTTTTTTATACATGGTGTTCTGAAAACAGCTGTACCGTTATCAACTTTAGTTTTTTTAATTGTAACCCCTGTATATTATGACATTTCTGGATTCTGCGGAAAATTCTAGATATATTTCATGTACGTCATATACCTATCTTCAACTGTTTCGGAAATATTGACAGTTGAAAATTGACTTTTTTGTATCTTGGACAGACTGTACAACCTGAACGGTTAATTTTACAGCAAAACCGAAAATACATTCTTATCTCAGTTTTTCATAAACTAAACTATCATTTGACACCAACTTTGAATCTAATCCATGATTAAAAATTCCGCTTCAATTATTAATCTTCGGTTAAATTCAAAGTTGCTGTCAAATAATAGCTTATGAAAATCTAGGACAGAAATGTGAAATCGGTTTTGCTGTAAAATCAACCGTTTAGCTTTTACAGTCTGTCAAAGATGCAAAAAAGTCAATTTTCAACTGTCAATATTTCCAAAACAGTTGAAGATAGGTATATGATATTGTACAGGGTGCTGCAATTTGGAGTGTTTTAACAGGAAAAACACACTTCCAGACCAGATAGAGGAAAATTGACTTAGATGTCATGGGATTGATTTTCGAGAAACGTCGATTGTCAAAAACCGTATCGCGATATCTTCAATGGTACATTAATACCGGGCGATTTTCGATTTTCCCCTATTATGAAAAATGGCTATAAGTTTTTTATTTATAATTTTTTTTAATTTCTGTGAAAAGATTATGGAGACACTTTTTTGAGCACAATCCAGTGGCGGACTGAGTTTTTTTCTATATCGTTCCGATTTCGAGATATCGACCTAATTCCGATATTTTCAAATGAAACACCCTATATATTATTAGCTCATTGGATAGCTCTGTTTTTGCTGATTTCAATGATATAATGTTCGATAGGTTTATTTCTAACAGTTTTCGAGAAAAAAAATTATATCTGTTTAAGTCATAAGAAACAATATGTTAGAAAGAGACTTTGCTCATTCTCCTTACACATATAAAATCCTTCTCTAACACCTTGGTCCTTACGACAAAAACAGATATTTTTTCTTTTCTCAAAAACTGTTAGAGATAAACCTATCGAACTTTATATCATTGAAATCAGCAAAAACAGAGCTATCCAATGAGCTATTAATATACCGGGTGACCACGAGATTACTGACCAAGCTCTAGTTCAGGCATGAATATCAATATCGATTTCAAGTTTTGAGGATGTATATTATTGATATCGATGCAGAATTTCGCTTTAAAAACAATCGACTATCGCTTTTGGTTTGACCGCAAGTGCCATCAACTTCTTTATTTCAACTAGATCACCCCCTATATTATTACATTTTTGGATTCTATGAGAAATTCTAAGCATATTTTATGTATAATATCCTATACCTAACTTAAACAGTTTTCAAGAAAATCGCGATTGAAAATGTCAAAAAATAATTTCTATTTTAGTTTTGACAGCAAACAATGGATAGTAGGTTGGAACTTTTACGATATTTTTGACTCATTTTAGAAGCACTAAAGGGTCCCACCACAAAAATATCAGTTCCGGTTCAATCGAAGGTTTTCGGTCGGTCTACTTTTGAGGTTATGTTACTGCAATAATTTCATTGGTATCCCATACTTAGAACTGAAAATTCGTATTCTAGGAACAATTTTGAATCTTTTTTGTATACGCTTTCCTATACCTAAAGTCTACTGTTTTTGAGATATTTTACACTTGATGTAAGGATGTCTTTGGAACAACGAATACCAAAAACAGTATTAACAGCATTAATTTTAATCCTTTTTATAAGTTTATTTCGAGGTTTATTTAAATAGATCACACAGAATGCAGTTTAAAAGATAAGTCTCATTTGTTGTGTTCCTTGAATCCCGATTTGCACTGTTACCCAAAGGTCGCAAATAGTCCAAAAAGTTAGGGACGCAAACGTGAACAATACTGTGTAGCTCCGCCGGCTGTATCTCTCACCGTTTCCGAGATCTCAATGATGTGGCTCAAATTTGAAACATCCTGTACACAAGTATTGCTTTATTTTCAATTTGTTATTTAAAATAATTTGCCTGTGTAGCTGATTTTCATTTGGTTATTGCGGGATATGTAGGAAGCAAATTGCACACGAATCGTGCGGTTTTGTTTGTTGTATTTGTAATGTAACAGTGCAAATCGGGATTCAAGGAACACAACAAATGAGACTTATCTTTTAACCTGCATTCTGTGATTGCAGCTGTCTATTTGAATAAATTTATAAAAAGGATAAAAATTAATGCTATACTGTTTTTGGTATTCGTTGTTCCGAAGACATCCTTACATCAAGTGTCAAATATCTCAAAAACAGTAGACTTAAACCCATTTTTAAAACAGGAAATAAAGCAGATATCTGCAACTATAGACCTATATGTAGCCTAAGCTGTATTCCGAAACTTTTTGAAAAAATTGTTGCTGATTATTTAAGATCTGTATTGAGTTTGACTATTATTGATGAACAGTTTGGCTTTTACAGCAAAAGATCCACAGAATTGAACTTAATTTCCTTTGCTGATTTCCTGTCAGACGTCTTGGATGAGGGAGGGGAGATTCACGCTATCTACACTGACTTCTCCAAGGCGTTCGACCGGGTCAATCATGAGATATTACTTGGAAAACTGAAGGCGGCCGGTCTTCAAGGGACCTTGTTGGAATGGCTAGCAAGCTACCTCACAGATAGATATCAAGCTGTCAAACTAAATAATTTCACCTCTAAAAATTTTCCCAACCCCTCTGGGTCCTTATTCTTGAAACATGGGAGCAGCGTTCCCAGGGGAACAAGTGTTCCGTCTTTCTCAATAATATGGAAATGATAATATAAGTAACAAAGACGGAATACTCGTTCTCCTGGGAACGCTGCTCCCCGATTTCAAGAATAAGGACCCTGGAGTCCCGCAGGGGTCCCACTTGGGACCTCTATTGTTTATATTATTTGTTAATGACATCGCAAAATGTTTCAAATTTTCTAAATTTTTATGTTTTGCTGACGACTTGAAGTGCTATATTTCCATTTCATCTTTGGATGATTGTCAGAAACTTCAGTCTGATCTGGATAGATTAGCTGAATGGTGTGACCTAAATGCGATGGATTTAAGTATCTCAAAGTGTAACTTTATATGCTTTACCAAAAAATGTACCAAAACTCAATTTAACTATAGCATAAAAGGCTCACTGTTATCCCAGGTTTCAACCATTCGTGACCTGGGAGTAACTATGGATTCGGCACTATCATTTGTCAATCATATTGATACCATAGTTTCAAGAGCACTAACTATACTCGGGTTCATCAAAAGAACTACATCTGATTTTACAAGTACTTCTGCCATTAGACTTTTGTATTGTAGCCTAGTAAGGCCTTTACTAGAATACTGTTCAACTGTGTGGAACCCCCATTACGCATCCCATATACACAGGATTGAGCAAGTTCAAAGGAAATTTCTCAGGTACTTGGCTTATAAATCAAATATTCCTTCCCGCGATGATTACAGCTATGATTTTAAAATGCTTCAAGAGAGATATGCGCTTCCAACATTGAAGGTTAGAAGAGATCAGGCAGATCTCAAACTATTCTTTAAGCTTATGAACTATATGGTTGACTGTCCTCTTTTGATCTCATCGGTGGTTCTTCGGTTCCACCTAGAAATACTAGATCAACAAATATATTCCAGCAGCCCTTCAGGCGAACTAATGTTGGATCTAATTCTTTCATACCACGCGTGGCAAAAATGGCTAATTCTCATTCTGGCAGCATCGATTTTTTCCATTCCAGCTTTGGTACTTTTGTGAGCTATTTAAAACATATTTGAAACATATTTAAGTTAAAAGATTTTTTTTGTTTTTTTTTTCTCTCTTTCTTTCTATTCTTTAATCTTTGATTTCATATATATGTTATGAGGGTTAAATATAAATATATTTATTCCATGTTATGTTTAATATGTTTAATTGGTAATGATAAAAATATATCTCAAGATATATCTTAATTTCTGTTTTGGTTTTTAGTTATAATGTAGGTACTTAGTTTCATCAGATTAAGTAATTTGAGTTTCTAGTCTATTTAGGTTAATTTTGTTAAAATTTTTGTACTAAAAGTGGGTAAGGCCCGTTAATAAATAAATAAATAAATAAATAAATAGACTTTAGGTATAGGAAAGCGTACACAAAAAAGATTCAAAATTGTTCTTAGAATACGAATTTTTAGTTCTAAGTATGGTATACCATTGAAATTATTGCAGTAACATAACCTCAAAAGTAGATCGACCGAAAACCTTCGATTGAACCGGAAGTTTTATTTTTGTTGTGGGACCCTTTAGTGCTTCTAAAATGAGTTAAAAATATCGTAAAAGCTTCAACCTTCTTTTCATTGTTTGCTGTCAAAACTAAAATAAAAATTATTTTTTGACATTTTCAATCGCGATTTTCTTGAAAACTCTTAAAGTTAGGTATAGGATATTATGCATAAAATATGCTTAGAATTTCTCATAGAATCCAAAAAGGTAATAATATAGGGGGTGATCTAGTTGAAATAAAGAAGTTGATGGCACTTGCGGTGAAACCAGAAGCGATAGTCGATTGTTTTTATAGCGAAATTCTGCATCGATATCAATAATATACATCCTCAAAACTTGAAATCGATATTGATATTCATGCCTGAACTAGAGCTTGGTCAGTAATCTCGTGGTCACCCGGTATAGGGTGTTTCATTTGAAAATATCGAAATTTGGTCGATATCTCGAAATCGAAGCGATATAGAAAAGAACTGAGTCCACCACTCGATTGTGCTCAAAAAAGTGTTTCCATAATGTTTTTACAGAAATAAAAAAAATTGATAAATAAAAAACTTATAACCACTTTTCATAATAAGGGAAAATCGAAAATCGCCCCGTATCAATGGTACCATTGAAGATATCGTAATACGGTTTTTGACAATTGACGTTTCTCAAAAATCGATCCCATGACGTCTAAGTCAATTTTCCTCTATCTGGTCTGGAAGTATGTTTTTCCTGTTGATACACTCCAAATTGCAGCACCCTGTACATGAAAATGTCTAGAATTTTCCGCAGAATCCAGAAGTGTCATAATATACAGGGGGTACCATTAAAAAACCAAAAATGATAACGGTACAGCTGTTTTCGGAACACCCTGTATAAAAAAAATTGGTGTGAAAAAATCTCAAGCAAAAAAACAAAATTGACGTGTTCGAGCGTTTTTCCCATTTATTTATTATCGAATTTATTCCATTTGGCAGATACACACTGTATATGTTTTCCAAATTATAATTCTCATTAATATTCACCAGCCATGCTCCTGCGCCAATAGACGCTGTACCAGCTACAGCTACATATAAACAACAAGAAGTGGTTGGAACTGAAGGTACCGTAGTTATAAGCTGGTTCCATAACCCTGGACATTTTTATTGTCAATTGCAGAGCGGACAAGTAAGGCACTTTGTTTTTTTTTATATATATATTTTTTAATCATCTTGTTCTTCGTTAGTCCGAATTTAAAACTTTAATGGAAGAAATCCAGCAGTTTTACAAGAACAGAAAGCCTGAAAAAAGTGTAGTTGGGGCTCCAGTTATATGCCAGTTTCCTGAAGACAATGTCCTTTACAGGGCTAAAATTTTAGAAGTACCGGGAGATCAATATAAAGTGTGTTATGTTGATTTTGGAAATGTTAGTAATGTTACCAAAGTTTGGCCAGTAGGTAAGAATAAATTGTTGAGATATCTGTGTGGCCCAATTCTTGAAAAATATCGCATACGAAATTTGATTTGAATTTGGTTGACAGCAATGTAAATTAAATGGGAAGCCTTCGAAATCATTTCAAATTTTGTATACAATATTTTTCAAGAAAAGTACATATTCTATAAACTTAATTATTGAAGTATATTTGAACTCTAATTTTGTCTCAGATAAAAAATTCATGGAAATGCCTGCTCAAGCCATTTGTTGTGCACTGAGTGGAATTTGCCCCAATGGTGAAAATTGGCCAGATGCCGCTACGTTCAACCAATATTTTAGTAGCGAGTGTTATAAAACCATATTTGTGGAGAAATACGAAGAACGGTAAGTATTAGGACCTTGCAATAAGATATTTGCACTCGAGGGTAACATATTTTTTTTTTAATTTAGAACCTATCTCCAACTCTGGAATAACCAAGATGAAATCTCCCAGCTTCTACTCCAAGCCAATTTGGCTCTACCGACAGCTCCAGCCCCAATTGAGGGAGCCATAGAAATACCCTTCCTTCTCAACCAACAATTGAGAGTGATACTCAAGAGCGTAAACAACTTGAGCGACATTATAGTAGCCTTAGAATCTGGCGTGGTAATCACTTGCAAAGCCCATAACTTGGAGATGGCTTCAGATGTTTTTGAAGATGTTCTTAAGAGCTATCTGGAGCAAACTTTGATAATTTATGTAGACAATATTTTGGAAACAACCTTGGATGTGACTTTTTATGATAATGAGGGCAATAAATTAATTATTTTGACCCCAGATGAAGGCGCTTTGGATACAGTAGACCCATTGTGCCAGTGTCCTGTTTTGAGCTCTCAGATTTATGGCTATGTATCTCACGCTAACGATACTTCTGTTTTTATCCAACCCAGTGTATATGTTAACCAGATGACAGAATGTTTGAATAAAATGTACGAAGCCTATGAAAATATTGTTCAAGAAGCAAGTTTAATTCCTGAGGAAGGTGAGTGAATCATAGAAAAACAGGGATTGTTTGGTGTACTTTTTGTTTTTCCAGGTTTTGTTTATGCCGTTCATAGTAGTGATGCTAATTGGTATAGAGGACGTGTGGACAGTTTTGACGATGAAAAGGCTACAGTTTTCTATGTGGATTATGGTAATAGTGAAGATGTGGCTTTTAGCGAACTGAGAGAGCTCAAAAGTGAATTCAACGTGCCTGATATTATGTGTTTGCAGGTAAAAACTTTTTGATTTTTTCTTTCTTTGATCCGAATTATTTAAGTTTAAAAAATTAATTATGTAATTTAGGTGCTAGTGCCGTCCGGTTCAGCAGCATCTTTCTTAGAAAAAGATGTTTTAGCCACAATTCATTATGGCGAAAACGGTTGGGAAGGTACTGTTCAGGAATTCTCTCAGGAAAGTCAATTGCCACAAGCTTCTGAAGAGGCAACTAGTGTTAATAGAAGTTCTTTAGCCACAGAGCATGGCCAATCAAGCATTGAAACTATCCGATTTGAGCCAGATATTATTGAAGGAGCTCAAATAAATACAGAAATCATTGAAAAAGATGCTCAAATTGAGCAGCAACTTCCAGAAATTGAACAACACGGCATTCCAGTTATTGTAAGCCATATTGACAGCCCAACTCAATTTTATGTCCAATTTGATGAGTCATCTGTGGCCCTACAAGAATTGCAGGACAAACTTCAGGAAACAGTTGAAGAAATGCCAGTTTTGGAGAATATCACTGTTGGTGCGTTTTGTGCTGCACCTTATAGTGTTGACCATCAGTGGTACAGGTATGGAACATTGAACATTTGAACTACTTTAATTTTATTGTGGAACATTTTAATTATGTTTTCAGAGCTGAAGTTCTAGATGCTGATGAAGACATAACAACAGTCCGTTTCATAGATTATGGCAACACAGATGTCATCAACAATAAAACAACACAAATCAGGACTTTGCCTTCTAGTTTACTGGCCTTGGCAATCTATGCTGCAAGATGTAGCCTCAAACTTAAATCCAGTGATGAAGAATGGGGCCAGCAGGCATTAGAATTGTTTGAGAATTTAGCTAACAGCAAAAATATGTCTGCTGAGTTTATTATACAAGACGAAAAAACTAATATCGTAGAATTGTTTGCTAACGGGGTCAACATCAAGGACGCCTTATTAGCTGAGAATCTGGCTGTAAGGTTTTTAATTTTTTTGACGAAACGTTTTCATTTGAGTTCAATGCATTTACAGGTTCCGTGTGAAATTGAAAACAAGGCGACATGTTTCGTGAGCCACCTAAGTTCCCCTTCCGAGTTTTGGGTACAAATGGAAAATTGTATAGACGAACTTGAATGGATTGCTGAGCAACTATCTGTAGCGGAACAATTTCCAGAACTTGAAGATACGACTCCTGGTACTTTGTGCGCCGCACTGTTTCCTGACGACGAAATGTGGTATAGGGCTCGGATTTTATCCAACACAATTGCAGGTAAGAAATCTTGGATTAACTAGATTTTATAATACTATTATATTATACACTAAACTTAAAATCGTACTTTTTCATATGACGCAAAGTATTGTAAAATTAAAAAAATCCTTCTCAACCATTCTTGGAAATATGAAGAGGTAAATGTGGAAATTCAACTTCCTTATTTTTGATTTTTCTTTCAAATAGCAATATTTTGTACAAAATGTTAGGTATCTTTTGTTGATTCATTACATAGTAGCTTATAAAAATTCGTTGTTAACTTTCAAAACGCATTATGAAAAGTGCAAAATCTTCAAGAGGGGCGTTTAAATAAAATGTCATTTACAGACCTTCACAAATTTCTGTTCAATTCCAAATTTAAACCACTTTTCAGTAAAATGAAGTTATGTTCATAACAATAATAGATTGGTGTTGTTGTTCTTCCATTTTTTGTTGCAAAATACGCAGTCTAAATAGTAGAATTATTGACAATTTTGTTGACAACAATATGCAAATTTTGGTCATGGATTTAAATGAAAAAAGCATAAATATATATAGAGTAGCTCACCAACAGTAAATTTCCAAAATTTCGGATTGTCAATTGCTGGAATAAATGAATAGAACAGAATTCCGAAAATTTATGATGTTTTTATTCCAAAATTAATCAAAATCTGCCAAAAGTGCGAAACAAGCAGATGATTGCTGTCATTTTTAGCAGAGACTCAAACCAAACGTGTGTTCAGCGCTTCTCTTAAAGATGTCGCTGAGTTCGGGATGGGTAGTCACTTCTTCCAAACGCCAGTAAAAACTAGCTAAAAATGTGAAATACTATTATTCCATTTGCATCTGAATAAAATTATTAGTCCACTGTAAATTACTGTCTTAACGAATTGATATTGAAGATGTCGCCATCTACTTGTAAAAAAGTCAATCACTTACAGAGAATTTGAACACCTGTGATTAAAAAATATTTAATGTATGACATAAAACAAAAGATGGCGCGCTGGCTCCTATCTGACGCCCCTCTTAAATCACAACAGGAAAAATTGATCTAACAACATTTTTTAGTCACCTTCGAATTTACATACATGGTATTTAATTTAATTCTCTGACATTGTCAAAGGGATATTTTCAGTGTTGCCAATTTTAATAAACATTAAAATGCTAATAACTTTCCTAAGAATCGAAGAAAAAGAAAAACAAAAGTTGTAATGGTGTAGAATTTTAATGGAGTTTTTACCGAGCACTTTCGACCTAACTACGGTAAAAACTCCATTAAAATTTTACACCATTACAACTTTTGTCAAATTCAAATTCAAATTCAAATTCAAAATGTGCTTTATTGTGTAAATATAAATATTTGTTCACAAAAGCTGATCCTATGTCTAGAAAATGAAGTACACAGCTGTAGTAAGGGAAAATATCCAAATGTATACCTACTTAAAATAAAAAAGCTCACAAAACATTTAAGAAATAAAAATCAGTCATAAAAAATAAAACTTAAAACTAAGAGTCACACAAATAAAACTTAAAAAACTCAAAAACTGTTTCTATTCAAGAACCAGAGAAATAATTTAAAATATATAATTTAAAAGAACAGAACATTTTTTACATTGAGGGAGATAAAACGTCATTGTATAAAACTCATATTAAACACGAATAGCAGGGGTAACAAAAATGGATAAAAAAAGAAATGACATACAAGACAACACAAAATCAAAAATCATTGAAAAAGTCTTCAATACTATAATAAGTTCCCGCAAGCAGCAGTTTCTTGACCTCCTTCCTAAATTTAACTGGAGTGAAAATTGATCTTATTGAATGTGGTAAGTTATTAAACATTTTCTTGCCATTATATATATAATTGACTTTCTTACCAATTCCGAAGAGGGAATTGGGAGAGAAAGTTGATGTTGGTGTCTAAAATTATACGCGCGTTCAGCCCCTAACTGATCTTTAAATTTCTTGTGTACAAGACACACACTCTCCAGGATAAACAGCGATGGAAAGGTCAAAATTCTATTGTTTGAAAATAAAGGCCAGACGAGTCCCGCATTCTGGCCCTGAACAAATATCTGATAGCTCGCTTTTGCAAGACAAACACACTCTGAAATAATTGTCGGGAACAAGTACCCCAGAAACAAACACCGTATCGCAAATGAGATTCAATCAGGGCGAAGTAAGCATTCCTGACGATTCCCACATCCAATTCACCTGATAATACCCTAATTGCATAACAATTGGATGCCAATCTATTTTGTAAAGAAATAATGTGTGACTCAAACTTTAAGCAGCTGTCAATGAAGATTCCCAAAATTTTATTTTCGGTCAAGTTATTAAGTAAAGAACCATTCAAAAAAAATATCCCCCAAATTGCAGCCAAATGACATTACATTAGTTTTGCTTATATTCAAAGACAACCTGTTTGCATCACACCAGGATTTAATAATTTCTATGTCGGAAGCTACAACTTCGCCAAGTAAACTTTCATCTGACTTTTGCCACAGTATAGTGGCGTCATCCACAAACAAAGTGAATTTACCCGATATGTTAATATTAGCCAAGTCGTTAACATACAATAAAAATAGGATGGGCCCCAGAACGGAACCCTGCTTCTTGCTGCTCCGATTGTGTACCGTTAAGTGAGACCCTCTGAACTCTGTGAGTAAGAAATGACTTAAACCATTTCAAAGCTGTACCCCTGAACCCATAAAGCTCGAGCTTGTGCAAAAGTATTTCGTGGTCGACACAGTCAAACGCTTTGCTTAAATCGCAAAACACCGCTGCTGCCACCTCCCCATCGTTCAGACTCAAATATAAATTTTCAAGAAAAGAAAAGACAGCGTCATTAGTGCTTTTACCAGCCTGAAACCCAAATTGTCTCGAGTTTAATATGTTATACTTGAGGAGAAAATCATTCATGCGTTTTTTTACTAATCTTTCAATTATTTTAGAAAGCACTGTAGTTCCCAGTACATCGACCTAAAAATTTTGTAACTCATGTACACGCCAAACTTCCTGAGCGGCTTCCTAACACCAAGTCGGACAATATTTTTCATATCTCCACCTTGGGCGATGGGACATTGCCGCGCTAGCTCTTCGTGAAGTTGTCGTTCTGACGTCCCTAAGGAAGTTGATACATGTACGTGTAGTTTTAATGCCAATCGACTGTTTTTGACATTATATTAACGATATCACATTTGTCGGACAAAAACCATGTGGCTTTGGGGAAGGTCCGACACCCCCAACATGTCGCTGTGGCGTCCCTAAGGAAGTTGGTACATGTACGTGTAGTTTTAATGCCAATCGATTATTTTTTGTATTTCATTAACGATATCATATATGTCGGACAAAAATCACGTGGCTTCGGAGGGGTCCGACGCTCTCAACATGTCGCTGTGGCGTCCCTGAGGAAGTTGATACATGTACGTCTGTTTTTAATACCAATCGAAGGCTTTTTACATTACATTACCGATATCACATTTGTCGGACAAGAAATTTGAGACAATCAATGAAAAAATTAAAATTAGTTTGTCTTTAAGCAATCTGCATATTAGTCAATTTATTATTTACCTACTTTGTCAAATACCTGTGGGGACCTGTGTCATATTCGCTGATCTGTTTTTTTTTTTTGATAATTCTCCGAGTATTTACGGGAATGATTTAGTGAACGGTCGTTGAAAACCACGCGTTTGAAAAAGAATGGATATTCTGTCGTGTTTTTTGTGCGATCTCAGGAGTAGAGATCCTGAATTTCGGCAGAAATTGATCAAAAGGACTTTTGTTGTCCGACTGACTTTAATACTCATTCTTTTTGTCCGACATTTACTACACATGTTTTAAAATTACATTGTTACTCATAATTATTTTTGTCGGACATACATGTATCAACTTCCTTAGGGGCGCCACAGCGACGTGTTGGGGGCGTCGGATCCACCCAAAGCCACGTGATTTTTGTCCGACATATGTGATATCAATAATGTAACATAAAAAACAGTCGATTGGCAGCAAAACCACACGTACATGTATCAACTTCCTCGGGGACGCCACAGCCACATGTTGAGAGCGTCGGACCTTCCCCAAAGCCACATGGTTTTTGTCCGACAAATGTGATATCGTTAATATAATGTCAAAAACAGTCGATTGGCATTAAAACTACACGTACATGTATCAACTTCCTTAGGGACGTCAGAGCGACAACTTCACGAAGAGCTAGCGCGAAAATGTCCCATCGCCCGGGGTGGAGATATGAAAAATATTGTCCGACTTGGTGTTATGAAGCCGCTCAGGAAGTTTGGCGTGTACATGAGTTACAAAATTTTAGGGTCGATGTACTGGGGACTACTGGTAATAGGGCTATTGGCCTGTAGTTTTCAGGTAAATCATGATCCCCACCCTTAAACAAAGTCACCACCACCGCCCGCTTCAAACATTCTGGAAATATACCCTCGCAAAACGACAAATCAATACACTCAAACAAAACAGTTATTGCCTCATCTGGGAGCCCCAGAAACAGTCGAATAGAGATTTCATCCCATCCAGCAGCCCCATCTTTTTTAATTTCGGACATAGTCCCCCTAATTTCAACTGCATCAGTTGGAGAAAGAAAAAATGAAGCTTGGATACCATTGTCATTTAAGAACTGTCTAAAATCAGAATTATTTGGCATGTCTTTTGCCAATGAGGCAGCGACGGAACAAAAAAAGTTGTTCATATCTCCCGCTGATAGACTTGATTCTACCCGTAATTTCTTTGCCGTGCCCCTCAGCTCGTTGACACATTTCCAGGCTTCTCGTTGCTTGTTATTAGCACGATTTATGCGTTTACTATAGTAAATTTGTTTTGCACACTTAATTGTTTGTCTGTAAATTCGCCTGTATGAAGAAAAAACATTACTAAAGTATTCATTGTTTTTAAAGTATTTTCTAATGTAATGCAAACTTCGCATGTTTTTTGCTGATGTTTTCAGACCTTTTGTAATCCATGGTTTACTTGTTTTTTGTTTTAATATTTTTACTGGA